ATTTAGAAAACCGGTTAAAAGGTCATAAAGTATGACAAAAAAATAAAACTACTCTGACTAAACATGAAAGCACGACAAATCACAAAATGAATTATCAGGAGACCAAAATTTTAGCCACTGAATACAACAAGCATAAAAGAGAATTTTTGGAAATGATCTATATTAAAAAAGAACCTGAATCTATGAATGATAGAACTGACGCTCAAAAAACTTGAATCAAGTGTATTTTAGTTTGTTAAATTAATTTGTTTATTGTTTTCTCCCTGTTTTATATTAAAAAAAATCATGTATATATAAGAGTAATATTTTGGAAACCATAAAAGAATAGTGTTTTTACAGTTTATTGGCCAATGAAATATAAATTAGGTTTAGTGCGATTTCAGCCGTAGTCAATATACATACGTGGATCGTTTTTTTGGTCTTACAGATAATCTTTTAAAAAAAAAATGTCTTGCATCCTCTGACAAGTTGATATTAGTTTTATTAATTATAGTAAGCATTATGCTGTGTGTGTTTGTGAATTTGTTCTATGTAATTTTTTGGATTATGTTCGGCACTGTTTTTGATTTTGGTGAGTGTTGTAAGATTTTATTTTTAACTTTCAATAGCGGGTAAATAAGTATGGAAAAAAAAAATATAATTTTTGTAAATAATTATTGTGTTTATTACATAAACTTTTTCACACTTAGCAACTTGAGGTTTTATACATAAACTACTTGACTCTTAATTTTAACTATGTATTCGTGATTTGTATAAATAATGTGTTTCTCAAAAAAAAAAAAAAAATTAACAGATTTTTTGTGATAAGTTAATTTGAAATTGGCATTTTTGTTATAGACACTAGCTACACTGATGAAGGCTGTAATGTTGGCCAGAGAAACGTTTGGTTATTTCCTTTAAAAATGAAATAAAAATATGAAAACCAAATGAAAACTTAATCAGAGTTTTTCCCGAACCTAAATCCCAAGAAAATAAAAAAAAAACAGAATATTTAATTACAAGGTTCAAGAATAATAAATTTTCCAAGTTTATGATTTTATATGTAAAATTATAGGGGGAATGTCATTGCAACAAGCAATAGTAACCTGACAACAAAGTTCCTACTAGAAGCGTTAATAAAAATATACTGGAAGATTAATAAATGCAACATTTGTGTCGTTTTAAAATAGAACAAAATATACTAAATTCAGTAAGAAATAAAATATATAATTCCTTATAATTCCCTTGATATGTAATTAAATAACTATAACATGCGCCTTCATTTGCAACACCTTCAAAAACTACAAATATAACGATCGTCACAGCACTTGACGTACTCGCGCAAAACGACGAAACCGTTTATTTATGCAACAAGTGTGCTGAGTGCTACTTTTAAATGGGAACGGTCGACTTCTCGACAAATTTTTACTTGTGTAAGTGTTACGAACCGATGGTCGGGTGAAAAACGAGTGAAAGAACGCTGGCAGATCATGGCAAAAATGCACGGCGGCAAGCGGCGCGCAAGCCCGCAATAAATACAAAACGACAAAAATAGTTATTAGCGTTATTGGTGACGACGATAGCAGAACTAACGGGCTCCAGTTATTTGATTTGTAGAACAAAGCGAGCAAGTTACGTTTTCTCCACTTTAATGGGAGTAATGGTTTAATGACACTCACAAACTAATATGCTAGTCAGATAAAATGTTATTTCTAACAAGCCCATCTTTCTAGTCTGTGAAGATGTAGATATGAAAATTGTATGGAAGGGAGTAGTTTAATCACCGCGACCCCCCGACGTAGCATTTGGACGTTATCTAACGTCGGGTATACGTCGCGTTCAATAAACCCGACGTCGGGTACCAACGTCAGTTCGACCGCCTGACGACCCTTATTTGCACCTAAATAGGGGAATACAGATTCGGGTCGCCTCGACGTCAGTATCTGACCTAATGAGAATGTAATTCTACCAATTACCAACACGTCATATTACGTTGGATTTTAGTCACTTAAAATTCGTCGCTAAGCTTACTTACGTTACGTTTGGTTTCATATTCGCTACCAAGAATAGATAAAACCTAGTCAAACTACCTAATTACAAATGGATTCATAATCACTCCTCGAATATAACTATAAAGTGCCTATATAATTTCATATTATAATAATTCTGAATCATTAATCCAGACATCAGTTTTGTCAACGGAAGTCACTTTTTGATATATCTGATTAAAATACTCCGGAAAACAACGAGCGCCTTCAAAATTAGGTAGATTTATGAAATAAAAATATCTATAAAAAGTTACTCGCAAAATATTTTTTTAATTTTTCTAGCTGGTTTAATCATGAAAAACTGTACTGTGGTTCCCCAAACTCAACCTTATCAATATTATTCTACTAGAAATCAGGAAATGTGAATATAAATTTTAAAAACAAAAACGATTTTAAAATGGCTGACAATCGGATACGATGTTAAGAATGGCGGATTTCTGTGTCCGACTTAATATTAACTACCAATATACCAATTTCGACCGGGTCTCCAACATTAGTCGTCTCACACGACCGAAGTCATCAAACCGGACGACCGGCAATCGTATTATGAGCGTATATATAATAATTCAACGTACGCCACGTAACCTCACTTTGCGTATCAGTGATTTGTGGATTTGTGCAACTATATTTTAGTTTTGTTTTCTCTTTAAAACAATGGGCAGCCACTTTTTAAGATAGTATATACAAAATTTAAAAGAATTGGAACCAATTACCTCACATGTGGGAGGAGGATGGGGTTTGCTGGTTTCCTAAGCTAAAAAAATAAAAATTAAAGATGCACCAGTGTAATGCAGCATCTCTTCGGATAAAAAAGCATTTATGAGTGGAGGCAAGACATCACTACTACTATTATTATTTTGCAAAAGCCTCGACCTCTTTCTGTAAAATGTAGATGAATGTCTAAATGCCTTTTTTTAGTGTTTTTAGGCATAAAGTTTGTTTACAAAACTTTTTATTAGGTTATGTTCATGATGTTTATTAGGTCGCAAATGCTACTTAATGGGTTGTATTTACGGACGTAAATAGAGATACGTAAATTAGATTATAAATATGAACATAAAATACAACAAAATATAATTGGACGTTACTTTAGAGATTATCAGTGAGACGTATCCTATTCGGACAACGGGTAGACGTCGGGCTAGTTCAAGTATATGTACGTCGTGCAAGCCAACGTTAGGAACGACGTTGGGGAAATTAATAAAAAATGGTACGTTGTTATTTTGTGCGTCGACAGATCGTTGGATTTACCGACTCGGATCCAAAGACGTCGCTTTTAATAGGGAAAGCGACGTCTGGAATCGTTCACCAGCACCCGACCTAAATTTGCACAAGTCTGACGTCGCTTCAGGTCAGATTTAGTTCGAAGTCAGATAGATGCTACTTGGGCCTTCCGTAGATCTATTGTATCTCCCTTTCTTAAGTTATAATTCATCCATACAGTCTCAGACGGCTTTGACAAAACGAGTATCTGAGACGGTTTTACAGAAGGTTAGTTCTTCATCTCCGATATCAGTATGGCACGAATGGTTGTCGTCTCAGCACACTCAGTGATGAGTTGTTCTGGTGTATCCCTATTTTCCTTACAGAATTTGCATTTGCCGTTGTTTCTTAGCTTCAATCAAATGATAGTGTTGAGGAGACAGTGTCCTGTTAAAAATCGAAGATTGTTCTAACTTAAATCAAGGAAAATTTTTGATTTTTCTCGGTAAAAAATATATATATACAGGAATTGGTCAGAACTGTAATTCGGAAACTTCGGCAGCATATTCTGCACATAAAATAAGTAAAAAAGATCGTATAAATCTATGTCCTAAAATGCTTAGTTTCGAAGATACAGGGTGTTGAATTTTCAATTTTATTTCGATTTTTTCCAAATAATTTCTGAAGTAGCGTCAATATTTGGATTAAAATTGGTTTCTGGGAGTTTTTTGGCATGAGAAATTCGATTTTGATGTCAATATGACTCGTATTTGCAGGGGGCGCCACCTACATGTGTTTTAACTGTTTTGAAGGGTGTTTAATAGTCATTCAGTGTTTTTATTGTTTCCTGTTTTCCTATTTTTATATGTAAAGTTGCCTTTAGTTATTGTACGTGTGGGACGACCTTAAGAGTCTGTTTGTCAAAAAAGATGAAAGAAGATGGCGGAACAATAAAGTTGTCAGTAATACGTCCGCTGTTTTAATACAAGTTTTTAATTGCAATAGTAATACCTCTGAGTAATACTATCAAGAAAGAAAAAGTTCAATCTTCAACAAAGGGTAATAACTTTTCGTCCGTACCTGTATAAAACTGCTAAGTGAAAAAATATACATTTCCGTGATTTTTTACGTAAAAAATATATCTTTGTAAAAATCGCAACGAGCAACCATTCTCAAGATATTTATAACGGAAATAATCAATACATGTCATTACTGACTAAAAATAAACCTGTTGAGCAGATAGTTATTTGATTGAAATGATAAATTTGGGAACTTTTTATTTTTTATAATTAATTATAAATTTTCCTTCGAGCAAATGATGATAAAACAGTTTCTGTTGAACCTTTGGCCCAAAAATGTTTCAAATTTATGATTTCAGTCTAATAACTATTTAGTTTAATGTTTAATTTATGTCATTGATGACAGGTATTGATAATTCCGATTCCGAATATCTCGAGAGCCATATTATTCGTAGCGATTTTTACCAAGATACCTTTTTTACATAAAAAACGTCGCAAATGTATATTTTTTTAATTAATAGTTTTATACAGGTACGGACGAAAAGTTATTACTCTTCAAACCAGTTAAAAAAAATGTAGGTGGAACACTCTACAAGTAAGAATCATATTGACATCAAAATCAAATTTCTCATGTCAAAAAACTCCCACACACCAATTTTCATCCAAATATTGACGTTACTTGGAACTATAAGAAATACACTATAAGAAACTATTTGGAAAAAATTGAAATAAAATTG